AGTGAGAATGTGCTGAATTGTGACAGTGGACTGTATCTCTTGAATGAGATAGAAGAGAATCTTTAGCTGTATTGGCTTCTGTGACACAGCCAAAATATTCTGTGTTATAGACTTGTAATTCAAAAATGTGTGTCGCTTCTTATACATGAAGATTTTGGTATTTTTCCTATGCGGACATAGCACACACAACATTCTGAAGATCTTAAAAATATGTTTAACTTCTTGTGAACACTTGAGTAATGATTGAAGAAAAGCATTGTGCTTAATACAGCTAATATTTCCAGTAGAATTATTGAGCTTATCACAAATGTTAGGACCACAACAGGTTTCTTTTGAAAACTTATGAACAGCAATGTGCCGCAAAGAACCTTAAAATGCATTAGGTAATATATGACTGTCTCCAAGCAGAAGAATTTGTTAACCTGAAGCTAATGTGCCAAATTAATTTTTGGTCATATCCTTTAAGAATCTGTTCAGCTATACTTAATTTATATGAACATTAACAAAAGATTTATGTTACCAAAAGTCAACTCAGTTTTGAGTTAGAGCAGCTTCATTTTGAACACCAAGGGTGATGTTCAGAGGGAGCTGTTTGACAGAACTGCTGAAATTCTGTGCTCCCAATGGTCTGCTCTGTTGTACCTGTCCATTTTATTGGTGCAGGCTCAGGGTCTGCATAAATCCCATCTGATTTATTTGTGCAGTATACATTAGGTGGTTATCCATTATTGTGCTTAGATAATTGTTACTTGTAAAAACTTAACAGGAGTCCTTAAAAAGTGAAGACAAACTGAAAAGCATGAAAGCTTGCATCTTGCATTTTTCATAGGCTTGCTGATCCATTAATAAGGTAGTTAAAACTTCAAGAACTGTCCTTCTCTACTTCTACTAGTATATGAGCTTGCCAGCATCAGGCTGATTTCCTTTTTCAGTCACATTGGAAATAGGTAGGATTTAGATATAAGCATGTGCTGAAGTTGCTGAGGCTGCAGGAGGATACTTGTTACGTCAAGAATGTGTTTCTTGGTTGCCAGTTGACTTAATCTCCGATGCAGAATCTTTGCTTTTAATGGCAATCCCTGTTCAAGCCTGAGGTTTGATCCATGATCTATTTAAAAACAAAAAAAAATGAAACAAAACAAACAAAAAAAAAACCCCAAACATTTAGCCAATTGGATCACATTTTAGATATGGTCACTGGGACTATAAAGCTTAGAGTGCTTTTGATGCCTTCTTTCATGCATTGTTTCCCGTATTAATACTTACTGTAGGCTAGCCTGTCATTACTGTAGTAGCTCTGATGAGAGTGAGGTGAATTGACTTATGCAGGCTGAGGTTTGGAACCATTCAGATTTGTGAAGAGCTTGTTGCTTTACTATTGCCTTCTTGTTTGGCAGAGCTGAGAAGGCACTTCAGGAGAGAAGCTTTCAGTACAGGAGGAAGCATAGGAAGCCAAAGCAGCATAATGCCAAGATAGCTTCTGCACAGAGGAAGCTTGTGGAGCGTTGAATGTGCGTTCAAGTGATAGTAATAAATTGTGCAATAAATCCATGCAGGAATATGAAAAGAAGTCTGCCCAAAGCTTTCTTTTGGTGTGAGGCACCACTATCCTATCAAGAAAATGAAGGCATATGGTATAGAAATTATGTTGGAGACACAGCTGTTGTCTGAGTAAAGTTCAGAGCAGGGAGAAACTGAGACATGGTTCTGTGCTAGGGTTCAGGTCTTGCCCAGGATGTGGAAAACTGACCCCATTTCAGCAGATCTCTGACTGTTCTCCTAAGCAAAAAGTACTGACCACAGCCATTGCTATCTACCTCAGAAGACGTGCTCCTTTCCTAAAGGCAACTTAAGGAAATTTAATTACTTAGATTGATATAATTTTAATCATCTCACTGTTTCATTTATTTAAAGAGTTCTTCATGGATCATGGTTTCGAGCAGGTGGAAACTCATGGCCATGTGGTGCTTTTTTGACACACTTTGCATAGCAGTGGGGCAGAGACAAATCTGTTTCACACTCGTGTGGGTTGAAGAAGAGTGTGAAAGCATATAGTTGTTCCTATACCTCACTTGTTCTGTGTAGTCAAGGGGTTACCACCTTAGTGATACCTGTTGGGAGTTGAGGAGATGGATGTGGGGTTGTTGGCTTCATGAGAAGTAGGTGAGGTAGAGTGCATCCTGGAGAGCTGTAGGGATTGTGTAACAAGGCTGGGACATACATCTGCTTTGCATGTATTGTGTTTGTGACTATTTTAATTTCACACTGAAATTATTGACAGTACCAGTGGGATTTGAATTTTGCATTTTTTATTTGTGACTGTTACCCATTTGCGACTACACTTTATAAAAATAAAATAAAGGAAGAGTATAATTTTTCTGAGTGTGTGAAGTAGTCCTTAATTGATGCATTACCGCTGACTTGAATCTATCTAGACAAGGTTGCCAGAGCTGGGATTGCAATCTGGGATTTTTGCTAGAGCACAGAGAAGGATGAACTTCTATTGAAGAGTTAGTGAACAAATGATGAGAAGTGAGGCTCAGTCTGCAGGTACGGCATGCAAATAACCAGCCATCTTTTCTGAGGTTTGCAGGTGGCTACTGGAAATGAGCTGAGCAGGTATGGCAGGAAAGGCTTGTTCTGAGACTCGTTGATGCCTTTCTGTGACAGCTGGGAAGCATCCACCTTAGGTGATTACTGCATCTCTGGCTGAAAGTGGTTTGTGATTTCTGTCAGAGATTGATCTAGGTGTGACAGCGCTTTAAGGTTTAAATCAAATTAGAGGATGACTTTGAATGGGCATGAAGCATGTCAGAAGAGAGTATGGTGGAGAGCCACAAATCCTCTACTCATTAATATAGCTCAAATGTGTGAATTTTTGTCAATGGAGATGCCACTAATTATCCATCTACAGCCTTTGATAGTGGAAATTTCCAGTGCAAGTAGAAGTTCACTGCTGGACAGGTTCTCTGATAAATCAAATGGTCTGAGCGGAAAGAATCCTATAAAGAAGATGGAGAATTGTTCTGAGATTGCAAATTGTCTTGTATAGCAAGGAAAAACTGTTTTTCCCCTCAGGTCATATAAGAGAAGAATGGTGAGGTCTCAGTAGTGGGCTATGGAAGCACAGTGAGAAAAAGGGCCTGTGGTTGCTGCTTGCAGACATCTAAGGATGGACTTGTGGTGCTCATCACTGAAATAATTTCTTGATATTTCTTAATTGTACTCCAGTTAACACAATTTTCATCTGATCCCTTTTCCATATCACAAATAGTGCTCACATAGCTTTTCAGAGTCTGCTTGCATTTGAAATACTTCATTCTCCTCTGCTAATAATTGCTGTAGTGTTTTTGAGTATACTGACAGGATACTGGCTTCCACTAGCTAAAAAATATAGACTTGATTGCTTTACTTCTATCAAAGTGATAGTTTATATCATAATTTAGTGAACAAGAGAATATAATACAATATAAGAATCAGAAAAACACAAAGAAGCAGTATCTGCATCCTTCAGAAGGACTACTGCGATTTGGAGGTTCTATTTTCTCATTTAAAAGGCTAGGTATAACTAACAGGACATAAGTTCAGCCAGTGCCTTACCTCAGTGAGAGCTCTTGTTGGAAAACAGATCTGATCACTATATGTGACCTCTATGTACTCAGTTGCTCATAGACCTTCCTTAACTCATGATTAAGCAGGAAGGCAATTTTGTTTTTACTTCCATAGATAGTAAGTCCAGCTGTTTGGAGTACCTTTCCCCAGTTTAACAATTTGTGAATTTGTCCTCAAAAATGTTTGCTTTTGAAATGAATTTACATACTTTTTTGTATTCAGCATTGTCTGTACCAACATTACAGTTAGTCTCGGCAGGAAGTACTTACATGTGTGGTCATGGCCTCATTCAATAAATGGGTAATTGAACAAAAAAATCTGGATACTTGGATCTGTAGCAAAGCTGTGATGTTTACATCCTAGCACAAAGCACAGATAAACATTTAGTATTTAATCATTTGTTAAAAGGAAATGCACTTCCAATTCTCAATCACATTGTATCAAAATGAAAAGGGAATAAATGTCAGTATTTTGTTTCTCACCCTTATTCTTCCTATAATTTGAGTTGGTAGCATCAGGTTTATGGTGGTGGCATCTTTTTGGGAGCAGGAAGGTCAGACAGCTAAGAGAAAGGTTTTGGTAATTGGATTTGGATAGCTGGAGTTTGCGCTGGGCTTCAAAGATGCTTTACCTCCCTTCCCCCCTTCCCACCCCCTTCTTTTTTGGTTTGTTGGCAAATGAAGCTCAAAAGAATAAAAGGTATTTTAGGAATGGTGGAGAACTATGCTTAGACTAGTGATGTAATTACATAATTTTTTATAACATGGCTCTATTAGCATTTTTCTTGTTGCTCTTTAGTGAATAATCTAAATGGGAGGGAAAGAAAATGTCATTTTCATAATACTTGAAGTTTGTGTTGGCTTTGTTTTGCTTGTTGTTGCAATTGTGGCCATTTCCTCCTGGGAGCTTTTAAATCAGTAATCTTGGATTTCTTGACCTGGAGAAACTGAATTTTCTATGACTGATTCGCTGAAATCTATTAGTATGTAGAATATCCTAAAAATGTGCTTAGAAACAAAAATTAGGCTTATCTGCCTAAGTTTAAGCATGTAGAAGTTTAAACATTAAATCAAATTGACATAGTTTTAGGGTTGCTAAGCATGTGAGTCTCAGCAATGCTATTTGTAAATCACTTGATTGCAGAAAATTTTTGAGGCCAGTGCTTGCTCAAATGGTAGTCATTGTAGTAGGAGCTCTGTAACTGAGTGCCAAAAAGCTGGTTTGATCTCTAGTGCCATAAGATTTGACACTATACTGAAATTACAGCCTTGTCTTTTATTGTGTCTATCTTCCTGCCACAATTTTAATTTGCTATATTGCTTGTTTTCTTGAGTTTTATAAATGTTGGTTGTGCATAAGAAGCTAATAAAAATTCTTTTCTGTTATAGGTACTAAGCCAAATGATCTACAGTTGACAATACCCATGTTGAAAATGGATGAGGAGGATAATCAGAGGAGAGATGATGCTGATGAGATTTTACAAAATAAGCTGAGAAAGGACTCCCTGAGAAACGCATTAGGAGACAACACTGAATGTGACTCTTTGTCTCAGCAGGGAACAAGGTTAATATCAGATGAAGTTTTCAGGAACCTTGAGAAGAAAAGAAAAGAGAATGGCACAAACAAAAGGGCATGGTCAGGATCACCAAACTTGGACACTGTTGAAGCAGAGGGACCTGAAAATACTTCCAGAAAGAGAAAGCTGATGTCTTCTGCCAATGAGAAAGACAGTGACAGGAAGTTGCACAAAGTTCTAGCTGAAGAAGAAGGTAGCGTAGAAGCTGGAGTTGTAAAAATTGAAGGAGTCACTGGCTGTCATGATGATAATGTATATAATTCACATTTCATGTGCCCACATTGTGATTTCAAGTGTGCTAATGGTGCCATACTGAAAACTCACAAGGAAACTAAACATTCTCGAGAGGATTCAGCTGCTGTTCCTGAAAAGTTACCTTCTTCAGAAGAAATCAGTGTTGACTGTGGAGTTGAAAACATGGACAAAGATCTTAAAGGCAAAACACATGATCAGTTTCTATCATCCTGCTCTGATTTAGAAACGCATATACAAGAAAGCCACTCTCAACAATCCAAAGAGCAAACATGCCCTCAGTGTAGTTGCGCAACTAAATGTAATTCAACATTACCTACACATGCTAAGCAAGATCATGAGAATTCCAAGGTATTTTGTTGCGATCTTTGTGGTTTTCAGAGTGCTGAGGAAAATCTCCTAAATTCTCATTTCCTTGGCAAGACACACCTTCGACGCCAAAATCTTGCTGCACGGGGAGGATTTGTACAAATACTGACCAAAAAATCCTTTAAAAAACGGCAGTCTACTGTAACCAGAGAGAAGAATGTGAGAGCAAGACCTGGAAGCAGTAAATTAAATGCAAGGACTGCTGATGCAAAAGAATTAAATGTTTGCAGTGTGTTGGAAGACTCAAATGTAAGCTTGTCTAAACAAAATGATGGCACTGAACTTCTTGGCGAAATGATAACATCTACAAATGTTCCTGCTGAAAAAACAGATAGCATGGAAGGAAAGCTGCTTTCTTCCAGTGTGGAAGGAGATAATGAAGGTCATACTGGAAAACTAGAAATACCTGGACCCTCAGATTTCTTGCAGAATTCAGAATTCCCTCCAATTACCAGAAGGCTAGTTAGCAGTTTAAATGTGACAAAGAGATCTGATAGACTGGAACATAAAAGAAATATTGTATTGCTAAGGGCTCCTTTTGTAGGAAATAGGTCTTTTAGATTAAAAAGGCAAGTTAAAAGAAGGTACAATTTGTTGGGTAAGAAAAACAAGTCTGAAACTAGAAGAGCATACATGAAACATATCTCCAGCACACAGCTTAAACCTAGTGATTCAAGCCCTACATCACATACAGAACTAGAAACAAATGATAAGAGTCTTTGTAATACTGCTTCAGAAATTCAAGATCTTACTCAAGTGAAGCCAAATACTGTTTCTTCTAGCACTACAAATACTAAAAATTCTGAAGTTGAACTTATTGCAAATCCTAGTGTTCATCACACTTGCATTGACTGTGGTCATGTCTTTCAGAACAAAGAAAGTTTAAAAATTCATGTTGTAAATTTTCATACAAAAAGTATTCAGTTTCATTGTCAGACATGTAGTTATTCCTGTGGAGTCAAGGAAGACTTGCAGCAACACTGTCAGAATACTAAACACCAGATGGGAAGTTGTAGCTTTAATTGTCGACTTTGTTCATTTACCAGCTTGAATGTGATAAACTTTCAGAGCCATATGAGTGAAGTGCATAATATGTCCCATAGTTGTCCAACTTGTGTTCTTTTTTTTCAAACACAAGAAGAGCTGATAAATCATCAAAAAGATGAGAAACATGATAGTTCATTACTTCAGCAAGCTACTCCATTGAGTAACACTGGTCTGACCTTGCAAATGGTAAGTTCTGCTGACTCAGTATCAAGCAGTAGCCAAAAACTTGCAAAGGAAATTAAAGTATCAATGAAAACAAAACCTCCAGACTCTTCCATTGTAAATCATAAAAATGAACTAAAACATTCTGTTCTGAGTAAAACCCAGTTTCACTGTAAAAAGTGTTTTTATAAGACAAGATCTTCCACAGTTCTTACAAGGCACATAAAACTCCGACATGCACAGGAGTATCACTTTCTCTGCAAAGCATGTAATCTTTACTCACTGAGTAAGGAAGGAATGGAGAAGCATATCAAAAGAAGCAAGCACCTTGAAAATGCTAGGAAAAATAATATTGGACTGCGTTTTGAGGAATGCATTGAAAAGGTTTGCGTTGGGGTTGGTGGTATTAAAACAGTGATGGATCCTTCTATTTCTGGGAATGAGAATACAGAGTTTGATAAAGAAATTGTACATGTTCCATCCTCTACTGTAGAAAACATATTGAGAAATAAGGAATTTGTTCCAGTTGATCAAAGAATTGGTGAAAATGAATTGGTTTTAGCTAATGTACCAAAAAGAGGGAGACCCAAAGGCACTATTTCTAGAACGTGTACCCATTGTGGTCTTTTGGCCTCCAGTGTTACAAATTTGACTGTTCATATCAGGCGAAAGCACAGCCATCAGTACAGCTATTTGTGTAAGGTTTGCAATTACTACACTGTAACCAAAGGAGATATGGAACGTCATTGTGCAACCAAAAAACATAAAAGTCGTGTGGAAATAGAAGGACATGGAAAACAGAACTCAGAGATCATTGTTAGCCCTGAAGGAGGAAATTTTGAATCTACAAGCAAGAAGGTTAACAGTCCCATGCCTGCATTGTGTGAACATGTTGAGGACAGTAGCCAGACTTTAGATTTGGGAAATTCTATCGTAGATCAGCAAGAAATTGAGCAAGGAAACGCCGAGGTGAATGTTGAAAATGCTAGTAGGTTGCCAGATTTGGGGCATGCTAGGAATTCGTTAAATATAAAGCACACATTTCTTGAATCAGCAACGGATACCCAGGATGGTGACCCCTGCTTCCAGAGAAGAATGGTGGGTGCAAATGACAACAAGTGCATACACTGTGACTTCACTGCTCATTCTTCCTCTTCATTAGAGTTGCATGTAAAACGAAAGCATACAAAACAATTTGAATACTACTGCATGGCCTGTGACTACTATGCTGTAACTCGCAGAGAGATGATTAGGCATGCGGCAACAGAGAAACATAAAATTAGAAGAGAATCTCATGTTTGTTTGTCTGTGGAGGAAGAAAACACAGCACATATTGCTAAAGAAGGCTCAGCTCTGTCCCAAGAGGAGCACCATCAAAGTGCAGGAGAACTGAAAACTGTTTTAAGTGAAATGAAATGTGCCAGTGATGCAGCAGAAAGTGATCATACGTGTAAAAGCTTAACAGAGTGTATTGCCTTAGATGAAAATGCATTTCCAGAAATGCCTAAAGAAGGCAGTTCCCAAAATACAGTGGAAAGCGTAGTTGAAGAGGAAACTAAAAATGGAGGAGAAAATATTTTATGCGAAGGATTCCAGGGAGCTCCTCAGAAAGATAATGCTGGTAAGCCTGATGAAGAGATACCAATTAAAGAGGCAGGTACTTATGAATTGCAGACAAGTGGACGTGGTCAGGAGCTGCTTAACTCAGGGGATTGTCCAGCAGAAAATGAAAATAGATCAGGTGGCACAAACTTGAAGTCAGGAAAAGGCAAGGAAAACTTGGAAGCAAATAGAGAAAAACCTGAAGCGGACGGTAGAAACACAAACATTATTGAAGAAATATCACTGAAAGAAAATAACCCACTTATGCTAAGTCTTCCAGAAACAAAAAGTGCAGCATGGCAATCAAATTTTGCTGGGAACATTGGAGAGATGGTGCAAAATATGCATAGTTTAGAGGGTGACAGAAGTTTCAAAAAGAATCCTACTGGGGAGGAGGAAGAAGCCCTTATGGAAGCACAACATGAAGCAGAAGTAACTATAAATAACAGTATTTGGGAGGCAGATGGCTCAACAGCTGAGGGCATGCAAGAAAGTAGTAATGAGGCTTTAGGAACAGTCACTAGTACTGATGATAAACGAAAGGCAATGCAAAATTTTGGCAAGTTTGATTCTTCTATAGTAAGATTAAAAAGCAATCAAGATGGGGAGCCCATTGACCATTCAGGTGAAGGACAGGTGCCAGGTGGAGTGAGAACTGGTGAGTTTGCAGTGAAAGCAGATGCTTCACCAAGTAGTGGGAAAAAGAAGAAGTCAGAAGGCGTTTCCCTTGGGGAACTGACACGTATTCGCTGCGATGACTGTGGCTTTCTAGCAGATGGTTTGAGCGGACTAAATGTTCACATAGCCATGAAACATCCTTCAAAAGAAAAACATTTTCATTGTTTACTCTGTGGAAAGTCATTTTACACAGAGAGCAACCTTCATCAGCACTTGGCCAGTGCTGGGCACATGCGCAATGAGCAGGCAAGTGTGGAGGAGCTGCCTGAAGGAGGTGCAACCTTCAAATGTGTGAAGTGCACGGAGCCCTTTGATTCAGAGCAGAACTTGTTTCTCCATATCAAAGAGCAGCATGAAGAACTTCTGCGGGAAGTGAATAAGTACATTGTGGAGGACACTGAACAGATAAACAGAGAGAGGGAAGAGAACCAAGGCAACGTCTGCAAGTACTGTGGGAAGATGTGTAGAAGTAGCAATTCCATGGCCTTCCTAGCTCACATTCGTACCCATACAGGTATGGAAATGCTCTCTTTGCAACTGGTCTCTTTCAGACAGAGTGAATTATTACCACTGGCCGTTTTCTGGTTTTTAATCTCTTTAACATTTCTTATGAACTGGTATTCATATTGCTTGATGAGCCACTGATGAAATTCAAAATTACCTTTAGGGGGATGAAAATACAGTGATCAAAGAGCAGAAAATGTAAGAACATTTTAAACGCAGTCACTCTTCTGCTTTTTGTTTCATATAGAGAGATTTCCTTCCCTTTAATCTAAATTGTAATCATTAATCAGTTCTTAAATTTATATAATACTGCAGAGGTGTTTTAAGAGAACAGTTAGCTGTTCTAACTTTCTCTTCCTCGCAGTTGTTAAATATCTACATTGTTTACTTCATTTCAATTCAGTTACACTTTCAGCATTAGATTATGCTTTGTGATAGTAATTTGTGAATACATCATTCCTTAATAAATACCAATAATGAGCATCAAGAGTTTTTTGTAGAAATAAGTTATGGGAATTGGAATAGGTCAGCCTTTGGGGAACGTAGTGTGTAATGTTGATGTGATGCACAGCAATGTAATACCTGATTTAGTTTCTGTGCTGATCGCACTTTCAATTCATTTTTATGTTTAATTTTAAGTGGAAAATTTAAAAACATTTTTGTAGAAAAATGCATAAGCTGCAGTTCTAAATTTATGTAAAAATTCACTGTGATGTTTCTATAAACCTGCCATACATTCTTTATTTTAAATAGACAGCTTTTCTAAATCACTGAGCTCTGCTTAGACAAGTGGTGTCTCCATGGTTGAATTTATGAGTGGATTTGAATAATAAATTCACATTTCAATGAACATATTTTCATTAAAACTGTAAGGTTTATTTTACTGTACTTTTAAATAATGGCTTATTATGGAAGCTATAGTTTAAATTCATGCAGTATTTGAAACTTAGTGCATGGTTACAAGGAAGAGAACAAAAAGGTAAGAAAAAAGAAACATAGAAGTATGGTAATTCCTGGCATAATCCTAAAATAGTTTTGTAAGTTTTTTTTTTTTTTTTTTTAAATGAGGGCATGACTGGACAATAAAGTTTAAAATTAATCTTGGGGAACATGGACGTTGTTTTTCAAACCTTTCAAAGTATTTTACTTTAACTGCAGCATTCATGTATGCCAGTAACTCACATACTTAATACTTCCAGCATTACTTCTGTCCTGTCTATAACGTAGTTATCTGTTTTGTTTCACCCAGTATCCAACTTTGAATGCAGCGTTAAGTCTTCAGAGGGACAGTCATGCTCACATGGTCAGAGCAGCTTTATAAGCCCTTAATATGCCCTCTTACGGCAGATAAAACAGAATAAAACTAAAGGAGAAGATGCTAATGGAGCTCTCTTTAGAATTCTTTATGCAACTGTCTGGTCAAGACATGTTGCTTATAATTGATGTGTCCATTACTTGAATTCTCTTGTAATTATAGTCAATAAGTCTTGTAAATGTGTTAAAGCTCACTAAAAGCATACAAATTCAAGAACAGAGTAAGGCTAATAATTTAAAATAATCAATGTAGGCATTTCAGCACTTAATTTCCCTTGTGTGTTGATAGCTGATCATTCTTAATCCATTAAGATTTATTTAGTCGTTTACAATGCAAAATAGGTTTGCACTGGTCACTTGTGCCATTTGAAAATGTCCACCAGGTTAAGTGCAGAATGTAGTCCATTAGTCTTCCTTGACTATATGTATTAATTGCATTTAAAATCAAGTTAATGTGGATGTGAAAGTGAGGTAACTATCAATATATGACAAAGCAACCCTACTTACATAAGTTACATCATTGATTGTAACATTTAGTAAAAGTTAGTGTACTTTTTACCATCTGGTCTGTAGGTCTTATCATGAAGTATATTTTCATTGTGCTTTTGAATGGCCTTAAATATGCAAGGCAGTAGAAGAATACGTTTTGTTTTGCAAATCATTTTTTGAGGTGCTTGTGGAGATGTTGTAGAAGGGTTTCAGATAAGAGTTTAATCTAGGCTCTTTCTCACAGCACCTTTAAATGAATTGCTTTTCTGATGCTATGCTTATTTCACATAAATAGTAATGCAGAGACTTTTGTTAATATCTAACGGGAAGAAGGAATTCTCTTTCAATCCCTGTTATCATATTTGTGATCTTGTGTTTCACAGAACCTTTGCTTCCAGTCTGTATCATGACAGTTGAAGCTGAATAAACATTTTGGGGTTATTGGGAACGGCGGCTGAGGGAAATGAGCCACGCTACCAATTGTATAGCCACTGGCTTATACTGTTAGTGAGGCACAGTGCATTATTTCTGGCCCCTCTCATCTGTTGCAAGGTAACATCAGGTGCATAACAAGGGGAAAGCTACAGTTATTTTCCCATCTGTTGTTCCAATTGTGTGCTTTTTCTAAATATTTCTTCTGTAAGCAGATGTGCATATATTTTTCTGCATATATGGATTGATATGTAGATACATGTATGTGTGTCTAACTTTATCTAGCTCAATTTTAATTTGAGTAATTGGTGATAGTTAGGGGAGTAAGGAAGAAGGAAAGTTGTAGACAGACAAAACTAATGATTTCCATTAATAGAAAACTATCGTTTCAAAATACTGTTAAATAATCTAAGAGATTTTCACATTGCAAATGAAAAGAAAGCTTTGCTGGAGAGGAGATAACAAGCAAGTCCATCACGTGTTGACAAGTGAAAATGAGGAAGTGTAAAGACAAATACGGGGAGTAGCAGAGGTGGAAGACTTTTTAGTTTTCAATTGATGCAGGTCCCATAAACTTAATTAACAGTCAACATGTGAGGAAAAATCATCTGCAACCATATCATCTTTGTTTTGTTTCTCATCATGTTTCTCAATTAAGGGAAGATTTGCCCAAAGTAAATGTGGTATCTTACTACCCCTACCCTAAATAAAGTATGAAATGGTATAACGGTGTTTCATGTGGCTCCGCTTACTTTGCATTGAGCCTGAGGTAAAGGCACTGTTGTGCCTCCAGACAGAGATGATGTTGGCTTAGAACGGACAAAGATTTTTTTGTTTTGAGTATCTTTTGTGTTAATGTAAGATTAGGATTATTAGCTACAGTCATCTCTGTAAAACAACTCCATGATTTAAGAAATTTAGTCTATTTTCAACTTTCTTCCCCCAGTTCTTTAGTTCAGAGGCATGTCAGTGCTACCCATGGAAAATTTACACTGTTTCCATGCTGTAACTTGTGGGTAGATTAATTCTGTGGTTTTTCATTTATTTATTTGTTTACTCAAGTCAGTTGGTTGGAAAGATGCTACGTCAAAAGTATTTGTCTCAGTGAACTAAAAGCCAAATGTGAAGCTGATGTCACGTTAACACAGTAGATGAGAACCACTGAAGTTTGTGGTAAATATGGCTAAGAAATGGTTAATTGCTTCAGTATTGTTTCTGATAGGTTCAGACTAGATACAGATTTTTTGCACCATTTGTTTAACTTTTAGTCTAATACCTTCATTGTAAGTATATTTTTTTTCTATCCAAAAACATCGGAAAGAATTTGGCATCAGGGAAGGCATCTCCCTTTCACTTGAGAGGGAGATGCACTGCTTTTGTTTCAGCAGATAAGTACTGACCGTAGCCTGTCAGCAAGTGGCTTTTCAAGGAGTTTAAATGGAGATGTTAACAGATATTCAGCGCTGGATATAGGAAATAAATAAATAAAACCTCAAGGCCTCAGTGATTTTTGGGTGAGAGCAGTCAACAGAATAATACATTTATGTATTGTCAGCACACTAGAGCTACGATTGGCCTGAACTACAGTTTTTCACAAAGGAGTCATGTAAATGGAAAACAGCAAAGGTCTTGTATGGAAGCCCTATGGGACACCTGCAGTAACAGAATGAGGAACGAATTTACAATTTAATCAGTAGGAGAGAAACTAAAGGAACACAGGATTGAATCCACTTGGTATTTGAATTCCATGATAGAAAACAGCAATATAAACACCTATAGATTAAAAAAAATCCTCTCTGACCGTGGTCTTGATATTATTAATTGTGAAATCAGTCTCTGAGATCGTAAGTTAAAACATCAACTTTTAATACTCTTCTATTTAATGCAATGATAGGCTTTTTTATTTGCATGGGCCTCTTTATAGAACACAGTGTTGATTTGAAATGTCACCAAATTAATGATTAATTTAGTTTTATCAGGATCATTTAAATAAACTGGGGTTTTTCGGTGTGATTGATAGAATGTGATTGCTGTTAGCTCCAGCCTCAACCTGCTTTTGACATTTAAACATATAAAGCTGACTAGATATAACCATTCAGGTGCTAAATATATTTTACATCTACTTCCAACAGTAGAAATGGAAGTATTAAGAGATCTGGCTTCATTGTCATTGAACTGTGAAATATTCAACCTTGTCTGCCCGTGCTTAGTACTGTTGACTTTTTTATTTCAGTTAGAAGATTAAAATTAAATGCTTCATTTTTCGTCAGCTTTTGGGAATTAAATTGAAATTTAAGACTCTAAAATTTTTTACTAAGATCCTCGATTTCACCAATGGATTATTTGAGGAGATTTTGTTTCAAGGGCAAAGCAAAAAGGTTCATTGATCAAGTATGATATAGTGTAACATTTTTCTTATCAGAGCTCTTTATGTATATTTATTAAAGAACACATATTTCATATTATGCTTAACTGTATTGGAAGAAGTACTTCACAAAACATATACTAAATGTAATATGGAGAATCTCTGACCATATTGTACTTACTTTTAATGGCAGTTCTGTGATTTTAATTTATTGGTTTAAGGATTTAGTGGTCAGAAGATTGGAAAGTGCAGTGGCATACTTTAGTATATGCACACATTCTTGGGAGTAGTGTAACTGCTTTGTAACACAGAGACTGACAAGTGCCCAATTCAGCTATTTCAATTAAAAAAAAAAAATAATAATAATTCTGTAGTCCAGAGAGGATCCCTGTTAATTAAGACGGACAAACAATTTGACTTTTTTGCTGCACTGCTGTGATACGAGAAATAGGCTGGTACTTTTTCCTTGGAGAAATAATTCTAGAGTTCTGCAGTAGACATTTAATATTAAAGTTTGTTCTTGAAATAAATAATAGCCAAAATGTCAATACTTCTGGTTTGCAGAATAATCATAAATTCTTGACCATAAAACAGTCATAAAGGCATAATATTTTATCCACTGTATATTCATACATTGCATGTCATTACAATGGCTAGGTGATGAATCATTTTCTGTGTGTGACAGAACAAATCTGAAATACCAATGCTAATGTAAAATCTATTCGGTGTCGGAAGACTTGCAAAATTACTTTACTTTAAATATACTTGCTTAAAAAAAATTACATTTTCAGTTTACACCAATATCAAAGCACTTTTAGACCATTACATGAGTTTCAGCATTTGGAAATAGTATAAAACGACTTTTGTCATCTTGCTGAAGGGCTATCTCCTTTATTTTAATATTTTTGGTTTTTTTTTTTTTAAAAAAAAGAGTGAATGATTTTCAATAGTTAAGAGAGTAGTTTCCTTAGTCCTGAATCTAAGGAAACTAATGAGTACTGTATAGTATATACCATCTGTGTCCTGGGAGTTATAAATTTATGTGCAAGATGCTTTTTTTGTTAGGCAATAATCTGAAACAGGTTAAATGTGGGATAGGCTTTTTTAAAGGTTATTTTTTCCCAGGAATTTTTATTTCTTTAACCGTGGGTGATATATTATTCTAATTCAACTCATATCTTATGCTAAATTTTACTTAGGATCAAAGCCATTCAAGTGCAAGATATGCCACTTTGCAACAGCTCAGCTCGGAGATGCCAGAAACCATGTCAAGAGGCACCTTGGGATGAGGGAATACAAGTGTCATGTCTGTGGGTGAGTAAATTGAAACGGTTTCCACCATGGTTAACCAGGAGAAGAGTGCAGGATATGCATTGTTTCAGAATTGAAAACTGTGATGTGAGCAAGAGTGGCTAAAATTATGCATGCATATCCTCCTTTCCATTGTTATGGTAAATTCCTTAAATACAGTTATGACATTCTTTTCCCACTTCTAATCCTGCACTGAAGATGAGCAATTTTATGGGCTACAAGGTCAATTTGAACCTGTAATCTGTAAATTGACTAAATTATAGGATGTTCATTCACATTGCCAGGGAGAACTGTAAATTCCATTTAAAGACATAAAAAATATATAATATAGACTTTAGTGTGTGGGGTTTTTTCTTTTGCTATCCTGTTATAATTTTAGTACCATTAACAGATTTCTGGACTCCATTAGGGTTCTCATTCTTTACGAAAACAAAACAGAAGGCTGGTTTTTCAAACAAATGCGTCTAAAATATTGCAGACATAAGACTTTACAAATAAATTGAAGTCTTTTATGTATGCTTGTGTTCTTGTTTGCTACCAAAAAAATCTTGGTGTTCTTTTTTATTTAATCGTTATTTCCTCAGAAGGATCGTTCATAATGTTTAATTGTCCTTCAAATGTGTTGCATTTAATAGGAGGCATTGAGACTCCTTAATGCAAAACTAATTAATTTAGCAGAAATGTTTAAAAGGTTTTAAAATGCCATGGCATACATGGTACATCATAGGACATTCAAAGTTGGGTTTTAATACCCTACTTCTGATTAAAAATATATTTTAATGTTATTATGCTAGAGAAATTAACTAATATATGCATCATATAAAAACACTTTACTCAAACCTATGTAACCTGCTATAGCAGTCTTATGGCTAATGTGTAGAACGGCACAGGTTCAATTAAATGATGCAGTGCACACATGAGTGGTGTGGTGTAATGTTAGGGATAATATTAAGCAGGAAGGATTTTTTTTTTTAGTCTTAGTATACTGATCTACTGCAGGACAAAGTGAGTTACACATTTTAAAGGACAAGTGAATCTTCAGCTGAAGATGCAGCTGAGTGATTTCCACTGATTCATCTCTCTGTTTTTCAAATAATTTTGCATGCTGCATTATGAGATACTTTGGATGTTTTTACTCACTTACAAAAATTAATTGCTGACTTCTTGTAACACGAAATTAAAATGTATGAGCCTAATTCTTAAGTCCACTGAATATCAACAGTAGAATAACTTGTGCTACTCTTTATTTTGCAGCATGCTTATAATGAACTTCATGTGTAGTAGCCTATTTTATGTTGTTTGAAAAATCTTATTTGCTGTCTCTGCTAGATAGATTGCTGAGAATTTGGCATGGAAGATGATTAACAGTTGCAAATTCACTGTTTATGTGGGGCTAAGCTCTTTTCTTTTGAAATTGTCAACAAATTTGACAGTGGTTCTTTCTTCAATTCCTTTTTAATGTCTAATGAAAAATCACGTTATATAACTATGTAATAATCCATACAAAATCAAAAGTCTTGAAATAGTTGCTACTGAATCTTATATTAAAAAAGAAAGAAAAGAAAAGAAAAAGAAATAAGCGGGCTGAGCTGCGATACAGATTCTCACTTTTCAAAAATTCGTTCCTTCCCTTCAGGGTTGAAGTGTTCTTAGAATCTTGTCTCAGAAAATGCACAGCTTGGTTGTAGTTCCTGACACAAATGGTTTAAACAGTAGACTTGAATGTTAGTGACTTTGGTAACCTGATTGCTTACTGTATGTTGCTGATACGTCATATCTGGTAGCCAAACAGGTACTTATTTTCCATTCCTGTATGTTGTTGTATGATCAAGTTACAACAACAACATGGACAACAACATCTGTGCTAGATATGACAAAACAATGGGCTGAGGGGACATGCATTACAATACCCTGTGCTGACAAAAATCTGATTCATATACTTGCTCAAATAATCATCTCATTTCACTTAATGTGCACAACAAATGTATTTCATGAATTATACGTTAACATTGATTTAATTGGAAAAGACATTTTTATACTGTAGCTAACAGTCCTGAAGAATTCAGCAGGATTTGAGCAAGTAGGAATGAGCAGGACAGTTTTACCTTGTAGTCCAAATGATGACCATGCTATCCTTAAATGTGAAAGAAGAGAAAAGAGTGTAACAGTCTGTGCTGTGTTTCTGCTGTTTTAATTGAGAGGATCAGGCAGTGTGTAGTTTAAAAAACATAAAGTGGCAACATTAATTAAAAAAAAAAAAAAAAAAAGCTAGGATTGGCTATCGGATTAGTGGCACTATAGAGCATTGGTACATTAACACCACTGACAATGTCAATTCATTATCATTGATGGCTAAATAATCTTAGAAATGCTCAGTGGACCTATTAGTTCCTGAACATAAGCAGCTCATGCTGCATTTCTTCATTAGCTTTAATTGCTATAAATTTTACCTTTTTAAAAATCATGCTTTAAAAGGTGAAGTGATCTTTCAGGAACATTAACTCTGTAATTTTGTCACAAACAGAAGGTCCTGCACTATGTTTTCTTTTCTGCAGTAGTTAATATTCTATCCTCTGACTTTTAGATTCATAGTAATAAGCCCTTGTGCTGGTTGCGAGGATAAATTGTGTTTCAAAAGCTTCTGAATCTTCCTGCACACTTTTTAAAGGTGAAATGTCAGTGCAACACTGTGGTTTCATAGGTCTCAGTATAGGACTTCTTCAAAAATTCCCAGATAATTTTTGCCTAAAAAATAAATCTGGTTGGGGGAAGATTCTATCTAAATTTTCCAAAGGCTCCTTATATTTGCATGATACAAAGTACACAGAAGTACATACAAAGTACATTTCACTCAGTTCCTGAAAAACACTGTAATTTTGGTGGGTTTTTTTTTTTTTTAATTGAAGTTCAGGATTTGTTTTTCTTCATCTGCAGAGCAGAAACTACGTGATACAGAAATTGGACACCAGTAATGTTTTAACATTTGGAAAAAAACGTCTGCTACTCATTTTCCTTATTGCAGATGTGCGTTAATTTTCTTTTCCATACCCATGGCTGGAAAATATACCCCCTTATTTCAGAGGTAGTATCTGTTGCCTTCTGTGTGTAGCAAACTGCTGCGCGTTTGAATTTAATTTTTTGTAAGTCTTGTTCTGAATTTGGCAGCCACCCTGAGCAGATGAACAAATTTTGGTTGAACAGCATTTAAAATTTCTGTTTCATTTGCCTGCTGGAATGCAGTGAGCAGGCTTATCTTGCACTTTTCAAATCTTATGCCTCAGGAGGAACATAAAAAAATGCATTGTTCTGCACTTGAGGTTTTGAACAGAATTTATAGGTGATGTTTGATTTAAAAATGCATCTACTATTCCATTGCCTTTTCTTTTTCTCACCTTTGCTTTCAGAAACAGAATTTTGGGGTTGTAGTTACACGTTTCATAAAGAATGATTGCTTCTTTCAGTTTTTTCCCCCCTTTCCTTTGTGACTTCTTTAAAAATCTACTGAAGAAAATTGTCAGTATTTAAAGCACACAAAACATTTCTTACGACCTTTCTAAAAATTGGGAAGACATTTGTAGTAGCATCTTAATTAAGTTTATTCAACATATAGTAGCCAAGTCGTTTAAGGAACACTTGTGTATGCATGAGGAAAACTGGAGAAGGTGGAAATGGAAATGTATGGTTGTTGGTTTTTTTTTTTTTCCCTCCCTGATTTCTTTCCTTTTTTTTTTTTTTCGTCTGTTACTTTTGAGTTGTTTTGGCGGTTAGAAATATTGATCTTTTTAGCTCTTTGCTTCTCAGTCTCATTTTGCTTTTAAACTCCTTTTTCTAATTAATTCCAGAGATGTTATAAGGTGTTCTGCTAAATAAATACCTTTTTTGGTTTTTAAAAAACCTTGTACAAACAAGCTTTCAGGAGAGTTACAGCATCTCAAGCATGGAAATAACTTCACTTTTGCTATTAATGCAAAGATGAGTTTGGAGATCATAGTCTGTATACAGCTTAGTATTTTAATGACACTAGTTGCTTGGAGAACATCTAAAGGAAAATACTTATCTGTATATTACATAGGTATAGTGGCTAACAGATATTCCTGCTTTATAGGTAAGGATGTGTTTTGACTAGCTGCATCTAACAGATGGCTGTGCTCCTATGTTACGTTTCTTTAAAGTCTTCTAGGTTTTCTGCCTGTTAGCGTCAGGCTACTTGGAGTGAAAGCCCACTCCTAAGATTGCTTTCAGCAAAAAAGACTTATTCATAAATTTATTGGTAGGAGCAGGAGAAACATTATATTTTCAAGGATGCCTTAATGTACTGTAATGTAAATTAATTATTTATACTCACGCAGTTTGGGAAATCTTAAATAGAAAGTTGCTACTCTAGTAAAACTATTTTTGTGTGGTATTACCTAGTTTTTGTGCATTAGAAGGGATCTCTGTGTAGATGATTATAATGTCACTTTCTGACCTTTGCAGCTTGAATAATTGTAAATCATTGCTTCATAACGTGTCAGAGAATGTCTGTACTAGGCAATTAAATGGCAGAATATAATAGACCAAATTATTGCCTGTCATGTTTTCAACAACACAGTTAGTATTTGAGTTACACTTAATCATTACGTGCATTAGCAACTTCATTGGAATCCAGCTTCAGGCTGAGCATGAAATACATTACATTATTTAAACCTCTAATGGTAGAAGTCATTTATTTGTGTTGAAGTGTACAACATGCAGAGTTTCATAAAGCAAGGAACACTTGAGAGCTTAATTTATCCAAATCAAAGTCTAAATGCAGATAAACACAAGTGGCAAAAATTAGTAATTTTTATAGGCTGGAAATATTTAAAAATACATGGTTGTGGATAATTGTAGGCAGCAGGGATAAATTAAAATCACTATTTTTAGTAGGCTCTGAAAACTGAAACTGTTGTATAAATAAATCATCAAATGCATCATGAAATTACATTTTTGAATGAACAATTAATTACACACATCATACCTAC